TTTACAAGACTGAAATAAAATAATAGAACAACAACCCTCTCATTTTATAAATACAAGGTATCTCGAACCCCTTTTACCATCAACTCAATCAAATTTAAAAAACCATCAAAACCAATCAAAATATTTATTCCGAAATATTTGGCTTTACGATTAACAAAAAAAAACTCGCGCTTCTTAAGCGCGGGTCAAAATCTAGTGAAATACATTATTTGCGATAAAAGTTAAATCGAACATGATTATAACTAGACGACCGAAAGCCTGCAAATAGAATCTCAATTTGGTGTTGTGATAAAAATAATTGGTCTTGTGGACCGGTCTACTATCACACGTACGAAGTTGCATACTGTATGTATGCATGTATATCTCCTATGTAATTAATCCCTCAGTTTCTTAGAAAAAATGTTTTTAAAAATACATTTTCAACATTTTTTCTTCATAAGGGCAAACCGTAAACTTAAAAAAATAGTTTTATTTATTGAACTGATATTAATCAAAAATTATTTGAAATAATTATTCATAGAAAATGAGTATTTTTTAACAAATTTTATAATTTTTTTAATATGAATAAGCATACAAACGTTTTGTTTTAGAAATAGAGGGAATAATAACCATTGATTCAACCTGATTAATTGAGCTAGTTTACGAAGTTGGACGGATAACATAAGTTTTTCTTCTCGAATTTTAGACCAAAATACAAAGAGTGAATGCGAAAAAAATAAAAAATTGTCTGATGAGCTAACTACAAATCTAAACACTCTTCACAAAGCTTCTCTCCATCGACCGAACCCCAAGAGCCACAATAAACAAACACCACTCTGTTTGATCTCCATACTCCCTATTTCACTCTATTATTATCCTCCATGCCGGTGACTATTCCTGAGAGTTTAATATTTTCTAAAATCAATTTAAAACGAATCTTTATATAATTAATTACAATATTAGTTCCTTTAGTGTCCCTAAACCCTTTTACCTTTATTTCCCCCTCAAGATAAAAAAAGAGAGCGATAACACACACTTTCTGTCTAAAATTGTGTGTCCTCTCATTCTCTTTCACTCTCTTGATACTCAACCCGGTTTAATCATATTTCTTAGTTTATCTTTTCAACATTTTCTAGCTAAAAAATGCCTTTAGAGTCTATTGTATACCCACAAGATCCACTCGGTTACCTCTCCACTTGCAAAGATTTCATGTTCCACGATCTGTACTATCAAGAAGAGGTGGTAGTAGTAGCTCAAGACACGAAGAACAACATTAATAAGTTAGGTCAAGAGCAGAGCTTTGTGGAAAACAATAAAGAGGAAGATCGTCAAAGGCTAGACTATCATCAGTACCCTTTACTCCCTTCGTTAGAAGAAGAACTTGGTCTTCCTGTCACTGATATGGAGAGTCCTCCTCCTCTGCAGCAGAGGAGGAAGAGGAGGAGAACTAGAAGCAACAAGAACGTGGAAGAGATCGAGAACCAGAGAATGACTCACATCGCAGTCGAGAGAAATCGCCGGAAACAGATGAACGAGTACCTAGCCGTGCTCCGTTCTTTAATGCCTTCCTCTTATGCTCAAAGGGTAACTGAGTCTTTAATTACCCACACACTTATGACAATATATCATTTGGTCAATTATTCTTCATAGGTTTTTTTCAAATATGTGTCCTTGTTTTACTTCCTTGGCATAGTACTTATTTTTTGCATCTTTTGAGGTTTCTTCAGACCAAAAAGACAAAACCCATTTTTATGACCTAGTATGAGAATGAATTTTAAAAATTTAACAAAAAAAGTTTAAAAAAACTCATTTTCTATGCAAGGGGGATGCGTTTGTATACCTACATCTATATGTATACATCCTTTTTGCAGTATGTTTTTGACCAAAAAGGGATTTTTTTGTAAGGTAGTTTTTTGCAGTATATTATTCAACTCTTTTATTAAAAAAAAAAATGTATCATAAAAAGTAAACAAGAGTATGATTGAGAATATTATGATGTTTTTTTTTGGTTAATGATGTTCTTAACAAAAAAAACAACAACCCTACACTTGTATGCAACTATAGCGTGATACAACTCGAATGTAATTATCTAACATTCAAAGATTTTTTTTCAATCTTTGATGAACCACTCACCTATATTATATATATATGATTTCTTCTGAATGGTATCTTGTGGTAAAGGGAGATCAAGCATCGATAGTAGGAGGAGCCATTAATTACGTGAAGGAGTTGGAGCACATCTTACAATCTATCGAGCCTAATAGGACCACTACCATAACTCATGAAGCTAACACTAGCACTAGCTCGTTAGTGGATCCCTTCTCAGATCTCTTCTCTTTCCCTCAATACTCAACAAAGTCATCATCAATAACGGAAGGCTCATCTTCACCGGCGGAGATAGAAGTGACGGTGGCGGAAGGCCACGCGAACATCAAGATTATGGCGAAGAAGAAGCCAAAGCAGCTTCTTAAGCTCGTAGCTTCGATACAGAGCCTAAGACTCACTCTTCTTCATCTCAATGTCACCACTCTTGACAACTCGATTCTCTACTCCATCAGCGTCAAGGTACGTATACATTTTCCATTTTTATTTTAATATATTTATTGTAAAATAAATTGAGTATCATAATGGTGGATGTTTGTAAGAATATGTAACAATCAAGGGACCAGCCTAGAAAACAAACACGAATATGTGTCGGTCTATATGCACGAGTTCTATACTAGTCTTTGTAGTGTGGACGTTTAGTGGTCACTGGATTGTATATGCAATGTGTACGGATAACCAAGTGAGGCCACCACTTGTTTCAGGAGACTTTCATATCTCGTTTATCAACAAAATAGAAATTTTATTATTAAATTTACGTTATTTTGTCAGCTTTAACCTTTTCCAAGAATCGTTATATATATTTTTATTTTATTTAAATGGGTTGCTCAGGTTGAAGATGGGAGCCAAGTGAATACCGTGGACAACATTGCAACAGCTTTGAATCAAATCATACGAAGGATTCAAGAAGAGTCGTAATGATTTAGCTTAAATTATTTTAGTTTCGGATGTTTCTTTTTCCTTAAATGTATTTAGAAGTTGCATTTTTGTCTCCATGTAATCAGTCAGTTGTCTTTGGCCTCTACACTATGTCATATCTATTTGTAAAAACATGGGTTGATGTTTTTTTAAAAAGGTGTATAAGTCCACAGGTTGGTGATATTGGCCTCTAATGATCATACTATACACTTGCTTATTGTTCTTTATGTGACATGTTAGCGTTGATTACAAGTATTTATTGGTTATGGATCGGTCTCTTTTCTTCAAACATCTTTAAATCTTTTGTTGGAACTTTGAAAGTGTGTGAGTACAACTCTGAATCCTTTAATCAAAATTTTATAACACTCAGTGATTAATACTTTTAGATTTGAATGTGAATAGATTTTATTTATCTAATAGCCCGAAATAATAAATTCAAAGCTGAGGATTTATTTTATATAGGGGTGACCTTTATACAATTCAAAGCTGAGGATTTATTTTATATAGGGGTGACCTTTATACAAAGAACATGAAGCCTAATATTCACTTTTAGCGTTAAAAGGCACAAAAAGTAGAGCTACGTATTATTAGAAAAAGTAAAAAGTAAAGCCTATAGATATGAATCAACTTCGTATGTGAGAAGTTTCATTATATATATATAAAAAACACTTCAGAAAGATAACTGTTCTCTTCAGCAGCTTTTTGTGTTTTGAGCTTAGATTCAGTATCTTGCAGCTTTCTCTTTATCTTTTTGTTTGATTATTGTATCTATAAATTTATTCATCCACTATTTCTTGGAACTTCAATGGGGACGACAAAAAAACATATAAATGGGTAAACATAGCTTTTGGTTGATTATTATTAACTAATGGGTTCCAATAAAGACAAAACGATTTTGACAAAAGAAAAAAAAAAAAATACAAAACCATTTTTGATATAAGAAGGTAAAAATGGCAACAAAAGAAGAGCTTAAGCCTTTAATGTACCACTCAGCTCAAATATGGCTAACATTGTTTCCATCAAAAGCGATGTTTATATTCCATCATCTATCGACAACATGGTGAAAGCTGTTGAAGGGAGTGGCCGGTATCTTGGTCACCGGAAAACCATCTCTCCGGACAGGTGAAAATGTGTTTTTTTGTTTGTTTGTTTCAGTTTTAGGTCATCGCCGGTATCACATGCCTTGTGGGATAAGTTTACTACTGATAAAATAATCTTTGGCAACCAGACATTTTTGGTAATGAATGACATACCATTTTCTTACATGTTCAAGCTGGTTTCTTTTATATAGATTATTACTTTGAAATAAACCGTCTGTTATCTCCAAATAAATAAAGGAAGTATTGCCCAAAACAGTATGAGATGAAAACTTCTATATAATTCCAATGTTTCTTTACATTGGAATTCTAATTATGTATGAACCATTAGGGAATATCTGGTACTAATTAATTGATCAGAACTAGATGATCCTCAAAACTTGATCATATATTAGATAAAATTAAAAATCATAAAAAAAATTGTTGAATTCTCACATTTTATTGAAACTCTGCAAAGAAAGCAAAAGAGGAAAGATAAATGATTCTTCTTGAGGCAAAGGAGTTGTCTTATTAAAGAGGACCAGGGAAAGTTCCATTCTCTCTTTGCTCGTTCCACCTATCAACCTACAAACACACACACAAGAAGAATAGTTTTCATGACAGCTTGTAAATCATCAAGATAGTAAAATATTATTTGTATCTAAACATAATTCTTTAACTAATCTTCATCATCAAAGGAAACTAAGTATATATATATATACCCATTCGCTGGGGCAAAGAGATCGATAAAACTTTGCAAACTTCTCGCATTCTGGAGCATCATCACCCTTAGCAGCTACACATCTAGAGATTTGAAATCAATCACAAAACTTAGAGACATAGTGAGAGAGAGAGAAAACCAGAACTTTAAAGTTTTAAATTAGAGAAGAAAATCGATGATTTCCACCTGTGATACTCGATGTAACGTGTGAAACAATGCCTTGTTTGGTTTGTTGTCGGGAAACGGAAATCAGCAGGAGCTGTCTTAAGCTGCAAACACAAAAAAACATGATCCAACTCAATCAATCAAGGAAAGAAGAGCAAGGCGGCTACTAGAGTTATATACCGTGATCTCATCAGGAGTCTCTTCACCTTGTGGTGCCACGATCTCTTTAACTTTCTTCACTTCATTCTCCAAATGATATTGCTTTGCCATATAAAAATTCAAAAATTGTTTTGTTACACCAAACGATACTTATGATCCAATCTTTGTTCAAAATCAAATCTTTTAATGTAAAAATCAATCATTTTAATGTAACGAATAGATAAAGAAATCTAATTTCAGCACGTTCTCAAATGATAATCATATAAAAATCGAATTGTATCAGATCAACAAAGAGAGAGATAGAGAGAAACACAAATGAGATTCTTCGGTGGATCGGATGAGGAAATAAAAAAAATATAAATTTCGATGAAGAATAATACCTCGGAGAGAGACAGAGCTTTCGTCATTGGAGCAGAGGAGAGACAGAGGATCTTCAGGTGGTGTGATTAACACTAACACTCAAGAGTGGTCTGGTTATTTCCTACGTACAGACGAAACGACAGCGTCTTATTTTCTAAATAAACTGGGCCTGGATTTTCTGTATCTTCTTTAGGCCCATTATATCTTTCGGTAAACTATCTTGGAAACTTCTTTTTTTACTTTATACCTTAAACCTTTAAAGAAGATGCAAATTGTGTTTCTCTTCAACCAAATATTTAAGCAATACAAGCAAATTATCACACAGATGAAATTACATTTGATAAATTTGAATACAATTTTTTGTTCCCAACAACAATTAACTCAAATTATGATTGGAAAACAGTTATTTATCTATCCATAGGACACAACGGATAGTTTTTCCCTTCACCAATAAATCGAAAGCCTTGTTAATTTCCTCAAAGCTTAACTCGTGTGTGATAAAACCGTCTAGATTAAGTTCCTGCAGTTTATGAAGTATAATAATCACATAAATCATTGTAAGCAAGCATAACCTGGTTTGAAAATAAATAACTCTAAATGTTAGTATATAAATAAATTACTAGAGGTTAAATAGATTTATTTTATAATACCTTTTTTAGATAAGAATCCACGAGTATTGGAATATCAAGTTTAGGTTTCAGACCACCAAATAAAGTTCCACATATGGTTCTGCCTCTGAGAAGATCATGACTACCCAAGCTTATTGGCAACATTTGTTTTTCCATCCCCAAAATTACTGTTTTACCCGCTCCCTGAAAAGATTCGAAGTAAAAACGGAATTCGGTTTAGCCATGGACCGATGGTAAACCAAACTGAAACCATCAAACCGGTAAAAACGCACCGTGCGTGTGCTATTGAAAGCCTCTTCCATCGAGGAAGTTAAACCAATGCATTCAAAACTGTAATCAACTCCTCCTTCGGTCATTTCTTTGATCACCTTTTTCCATATTTACCAAAATTCGTTAATTAATTTCTTAAAAAAAAATAATCGAAAACTTTATAGAAAAGGTGTAAATCAACAAACTTGGCTAGTCTTTTTCTCTCCACATAAAGCAGGGTTGACGAAGTCCGTGATACCAAATCGTTTACCTACTCAACAACAATGGTTGTACATATGTTTTATATGATAAAATATAACATAAGGCCATGACCACATAAAATATATAGACCAATCAAACCTATTTCAAATTTGTCGGGATTGAGATCTACACCGATGATCTTTGCAACCCCACGTAGCCTGGCGCCTTCTGCAACCTTTTAACCATATCATTTAAAAAAAAAAAAATTCTTGGTCTTCTCAATCATTGAACACTATGATTCGTAAATAAACTACTAAGTACTAATCATTAATTCATATTGTGGATTATATGTTCCTACATAGAAATAATATATTATTTTAAAATACAAAAGTTGTACCGCAAGTCCAACACCACCAAGGCCAAAAATAGCGACGGTTGAACCTTCCTCTACGTCAGCCACCTTCCATGCAGCCCCTACTCCTGTTTCCACGTGACGCACCATATATCAGTCTATTATCTAACTTTTTATAATTTATATCTATATATCCAACCCTTAATTTCCACTTCTGTGAATGTTTTAACCTCGGATAAAATTATAATATCACAATCAAACCTAACACGAATGTGAAATAGTCTTACCTGAGGAGACACAGCAGCTGAGCAAGGCCGCTTGGTCAACGGGGATCTCAGGGGAGATTTTGACGAGATGTGCGATGTCAACGACGGTGTATTCAGAAAAACTCGAGACGAAAAAAAAATGGTAAATATCTTCACCGGAGGAATCTTTAAACCTGGAAGCCATTCCATATCGCCTCGTGTTTGATAAGAAGTCGTCGCAATACCTCGAGCACCAGTTGCTCTTTGGGGATTTGCAATCTTTACATTCCTCACAGTGAGGGTGAAACACTGGTAAAACAACATCCCCTTGTTTGAATCCATCCACATGCTCTCCAATACTCTCCACAACACTAGGTTAATTAAAATCCCAAATTAAAAAAATAAAATAAAGTAATTAGGCTATGCTAAAATTAATGATAAAGAGTGATATTAATTATTGTTTTTTTATCACACCCGACTGCTTCGTGTCCTAGAATCCTAGGAAACCTTGCAAGAGGTCCCTGGAAAAAAAAAGTCAATGGGTAATGAAATATTGTCGGCGTTTACTTTCCTATGCAAACATATGGGTTATATATAGAGTAAAGTTTTTTTTGAAACTTAAAGGAGATAATATAGAGTAAAATTACCCAGTCTAATTTCCAGAAAGCAACATCAGTGTGACAGAGAGAAGTGCATAAAATCTTAATACGAACTTCGTAAGCTTGAGGTGGATCAACTTGGATCTCCTCTATGACCAATGCTTCTCCTGCTTTTCTACATAATGCTGCTTTGCATCTAATCGGTTTTCCTTTGTGGATGGAGACTGAAGATGTCTTGTCCATGGGTGAATGATGGATTATGAGTGATGATGAACAATGATGGAGTTGAAATGATAGATCAATATAGAGAGATGCTCACTTGTCCACGTAAAACGATTCCCGTAGTTTTGTCGATTTCTAATAAAGTATAGTTAGTAATAATTGAAGCACGTCTCTATTCTTTTGACAAATAGGAAAAGGTTCTTCCACATGAGAAGGATAAATGACGTCCTAACTTTACTTTGTATTGTTGTCTGTATTTTAAAACCGATCGTAAGAAAATGAAAACATTGACAGACTAATTCAATTGATAAAATATATTGAGCTGGTGGAGGGTCGAATAAGAAGAGTTAAAATGAGCAAATATCTTATGAGTATTGATTCCCTTCTAGAGTCAACCAACAGTAATTAATATTGTATATATCTATCGATCGTTGCAATTGGACAACTAAATCTTCTAGATAATGCGTTGTTTTAGACTTCATTGTTATAAAAGATAACACTGGCTTCGGGACTAACGTTTCCTTAATTAACATATATAGATACTAAAAATTATATGTTACAAAAAAAAAGATACAAAAACTTATTTGGGTTGAACATAATAGAATTTACAAAATTAATTTTAACATCCATATTAATTTTACGGGTTCAGTTCTTAGTCTGAATTAACCCGGTTTGCCGCAAAATAATACACTTTCTAAATAATTTAACTTTTGCGCAGTTTTGGTTCTTACTTTGAGTTCAAAAGATTTACCCTTAAGTGAAAGTAATAAACAGTAAGAACTGAACCCGTAAAAACGAGAAAAAAATAAAAACATTTTAACTTTTATGTTTTTTTTGTTTAAACATAAAAACGAAATGAAAGTAATAAACATTTTTTTGCTTAAGTGAAAGTAATAAACATACAAACTTAATTTGGTTGCCAAACCTAAACAACATATTAAAAAAAAAAAAAAAAACTAAATGTGTTCTGGGAATCTAATTAATTGCACCATGTGTAAACAAGAAAACATTTGTTATTTCTGTCTGGTAATTTCATGAGATTAAACACAAGAAAAAAATAAATAAAAGAGAAGATGGCAATGGGGAAAAACCAGAAGCCGATTTACGAGAGCCGTGCCGTGAACATGGACAGTGCCAAGGGAGCTGGATTCAAGGCCACGGCACTGAGACTCGGTGGCACTATTCTAAGCTCGCAAAGTCTGAATAACCTCCCTCATCTGCCACTGACTCAGTTTAGCAATCCTCAGAGCCCATTGGCCGAAATGGCGATGGTATGCCTCCTTTTTGTGTTGTCATTTTTATAATTTGATTCCAAAATAGAATAATTTTCTTTTCATAAACAGAAGACTTGATAAACATAGTTAATTCTGCTTAAAAATTGTTATTTATTTCCCAAATCACATGAAAAAAAAACCCTTTCATGATCTGAAAACGGGCGAAACAAACAGAGCATGATTCGCTTCCGATCATGGAAATCAATCCAACAAGGTAAAACAAAAGAAGAGTTTAACTTCAACGCGGAAAGAAAAGAGAGGGGACACACACACCTCTTTGATTAGACACAATAATAACGAAGAAAGATGGTTTCATTTCAATCCCTAACAAAAGATTCATATCATTTCTGCTCCTCTGTTGGCTTTGGAGGTGTTGCTTCCTTGATCTCATCTGCAGTTTCATCCTGATCCACACCAAAAAATAAATATTCAAGCTACAACTGTTACAACGTGTAAAAGACTAAAAGAGAGGGAGAGGAAAAACAAACCTGCATGTCGGATGTCCAGAGAGTGAGGTTATCACGTAGAAGCTGCATGATCAGAGTGCTATCCTTGTACGATTCTTCACCTAGTGTGTCCAACTCAGCAATGGCAGCATCAAAAGCCTGAATCATAACACTTAACTTTCTTGATCATCCTTAAGACGTTAGTGATAAAACTAATCAAAAATTAGGTTTACCGTTTTAGCGAGGTTGCAAGCACGGTCAGGAGAATTGAGGATCTCGTAATAGAACACAGAGAAATTCAACGCCAAACCAAGACGGATTGGGTGAGTTGGAGCAAGCCCCTTAGCATTTTCCTGCATAATACAAAATCCAATAGGTATAACTTTTATACAGCTCCATAGGCATAGCCTCTAAGTCCAAATCAAGAATCAAAGGGTGTAACTGGTGAAAAATAATAGGAATATATGGAATGATAGGAATCACTGCTTTGGGAACTTAATGGAATGGAATCAGCATTCCTCTTGTTCCAAAACGTTTTTGATTTGGAATGAATTTTCAAATGAAAGTTTTTTTTTTTTTTCTGAAATGATATGGAAGGTTATGGAATGACCTTTCCATTTTTCTTTTGTAACTGGTGAACAATTTTTGGAATGCACATGAATTAAGCATTCAAAAGGTTTTTACTCCAAAAAAATGCATTCCAGTTGCAACTAATATAGGTCTAATCCAAAAACCTAGATTAAAAATCTAAGGCAAGTAGTATTGAAGGTTGTCGAATCGTCTATGTAAATTTTCTCATAATTATAATATCATAATACATCAGAGTTAAAAAAAAACAATATAAAACCTAATCAAGAATCAGAAAACTAATGTATATCTAATCCAAAAACCTAGATTAAAAATCTAAAATGTATGGCTTGTCGTGTATGTAATTTTTCTCATAATTGCAATATCATAACCCCTCCGTTTCATTTTAGTTGTCATTCTAAGTTTTTACACAGATTAAGAAAACATTTAATTTTACATATTTTCAAGAAAAAAAACACAATTACCTATACACCTAACCACTTTTCAACCAATAGAAAAATAGAATATTATATAAAACTAATAAATTTTGACTCGAAACTCTAAAACGACACTTAATTTGTGACATAAAATTAAGTCTAGAATGACAATTATTCTGAGACGGAGGGAGTAATAAATCAGAGTTAAAAAAAAAACAATCTAATAACTAATCAAGAATCAGAAAACTAATGTAGATCTAATCCAAAAACCTAGATTACAATCTAAAACCTAATCAAGAATCAGAATAGGTCTAATCCAAAAACCTAGATAAACAATCTAAAACCAAATCAAGAACCAGATCCGTTAAATCCACATCAGATCTGAACACAAACCTGAGCAGATTCATAAGCCGAGAGAGTATTATCAGCAGCATCATCTCTCTCCTTACCAATCTTGAACTCAGCCAGGTACCTATAGTAATCACCTTTCATCTTAAGGTAGAAAACCTTGGATTCCTCGGAAGCAGCGGAAGGAATGAGCGCGGACTCGAGGAGCTTGAGGATCCCGTCGCAGATCCCCGATAGCTCCGACTCGATCTTCGCCTTGTAGTCGCGGATCGTCTTGACGCGGTCGTCGTTGCCGCGGCTCTCTTCCTTCTGCTCGATCGAGGAGATGATGCGCCAGGAGGCGCGGCGGGCGCCGATGACGTTTTTGTAGGCGACGGAGAGGAGGTTACGCTCCTCGACGGTGAGTTCGGTGCCGTCTGTGGCGGAGGAGAGTTTCTCCATGAATTCGACCATCTCTTCGTACCTCTCGGCTTGCTCAGAGAGCTTCGCCATGTATACGAACTCGTCGCGCGATGAAACTGCCATTGTTGGTTGATGATTAATCTCAGATCGGAGAGTTTGTTTGTTGGATTCGGTTTAAAGGAGAGAGAGAGAGGGAGGAGGCGAAAGGAGTGGGGAGCGACGAACTGCGATTTGATTAATGTAAAGCGAGAAAGAAGGGAGATGGAATCTGGACCGTTGGATTTGTACGTTCAAAAGAACGGAGGGTTATTTTGGCCGAGTGGTTTTAAGTGTTCCTTAAAACGAGTATCTACGCCCGAGTTCGATACCTTATATGACGAAATTGTAATTTATTAATTTTTTAATGAATTTTCATTTGTACTCGGGTAATTCTGCAGTATGTATTTTCATGCGATTATTTGTATAAGGATAGACATTTTATCTGTTAAATTTGATTTGGTCAAAAAAAATCATAAAATTTAATATTTATTAAAAACGAAACAAATCAAAAATAATAAAATTTTATAAAGTAACTATCTAGTCCACTTCGGCAGATGTATAAATACTTCTATATTTTAATTAAAGGTAGATTTTTAATAAATTATTTTCTTTTTTTTTTGTATTCAATTTGTATTGGTCTAACATATGTTTTTAATAAATTATATTCATATTATTATTTATAAAAGTATTAAACCGATACAAAAAGAAAATATTTATGATATCTATAACTTATTTCTTAAGTTTTGTCTTCCTTATAAATAATTTTAAAATTTACAAACATGTACTATCAGTACTTATTTTAATTTTTATATATTTTATGAATTTTTTTTTTAAAAAAAATATACGATTTTTTTCTAAGTTATTTATATTACATAAAAAATATAAAAAATATTCATAAATATCCGCGAATATCTTTATATTTTACACTTATATATCAGTATTTTTGAAATAAAGCAAATAAAAATCAATATCTATAACATGCAAAATAAATAAAAAATATCTAATAATATTTGCACCCTACCTATAAAGGTTTTTGTATAAACAGTTGCAGCTGACATCAAGTTTCAATATTTGTGGTTATATAAGGCCTCACGATCTTCGCAGCCAGCATATTGTTCTAGATAAACATGGTTACATATATATGTTAGAATATATACTTCTTTGTTTGGATTTGATCTCTTTTATAACAAACGCTTATCAAATTTTATGTAAATCCTTCTTATCGGTGATAAAATATCAGTTACTTTGTTGTTTTCACTTCACTCTGCGTTCTTTTTTTAATCTTAGAGTTTTGACTACTACTATACGAACAGTTTAGAAAACGATTGGTGAAAATGATTCATGCTTTAAACTAGACCGCTACTAGACTAATCACAAGATGTTATTTTCATGATCACATTGAATATTATTAACCAATCCATGTAGTAATTAAACAATACAAACCCATACGATTAACCTTAAACCTTGACATACTGATAATTAACCAATCGATGTAGTAATTAAACAATACAAACCCATAAAATCAAACTTAAACCGTACCACACTAAACAAGGAAGACTTTTCTTCTCTTCTTTAATGGGTCGAAGTTGGAGTCGATGGCAGCAAGCGTTGAGGAGATCGTCGTCGACGTGGACGACAACAACATATCAAACAAATAAGCCAACACAAGAACCGAATGAGTTGGATTAAGAGTATTGAAATTAAAAACACAACCCAAAATCCAAGATAAATTGCTTGCATATAATTGATGATTGGATCGTCGGGTTGAACCAAAGCTGCTGCAAACAAGAATGCTGCAGATATACAAAGCACTGCGGCTACCATGAACATTGCCAGAATTGTCATTATCACGCGGTTCCTGTAAACAACTGTAACATCAGATAACTGATATTTTTTTTTTTTAATTTGTCTAACCCCAAAAAGTTATCACTAAGAATAAACCATTAAAACTATGATTCATGAAAGTCCAATCTAATAAAGACTCTTTTTTTTAAACAATCAGACGAGTTTTCATGTCTAAGTCAACCACTGGCTGACTTAGTTGGTACACTTCATCAAAGTGAATTACCTTAGTCTCAATTTACATGAATATTGAACAATATGTGTAGATTTAATTCACACAATCACACTGAAGATAAATTCCATAGCAAGAACTGTATTTTGCTGAACAAGATTGTGAAGTCCATAAAAATCCTGAAAACCTTAAAGTTTAAAAGGAAAAAGTTGATAAGCAAGTTGATCTCAAAATATTATTGATATAGTTTACTTCATGTAAGTTCGGTAATATCTTGTCAAATCACATATTGGCATAAATTTTCAAATTAATATTCAAAATGTATCTACAAAGTTGCACATACAAATTTATCTCTTACCTCAGTTGAAACCCGCAGAAGAAGAGGAGAATTAGGCTCATAGAGGCAGAAAACGATATCGTACTACTAATAAGCATTCCAAGATACAACACACGCTTTGATCTATTGTCCCCCAGAACCGAAGTTCCAACTTTGTCTTTACAAATCGATATGCCATCAGCTTGAACCTATGAAATTTTATTTCACTTATTTAGTTGCTCCACTTAAAATTGTAATATTGCTCCATTCATTTTGGATTACACCCAAGAGACACAAACAAAACACAGCTTAAACCCATGCTAAAAAGCGTTTAAACATAACCGTATAAGCCCAATTTTGATATTTTTACAAACATAATCTTTGCAAACAATAAGACAAGTTTCGTAACTTCTCCGGGTAACTTTTTCAGATATTTACATATGGTTTTTCACATCTTTCTGCAATTTATCACATATACTGGTAAGTTGTTATAAATCTATTTTTCTCTATGATTCACATCAGGTCTAGACAAATTTATCTAGAACTGAAAAATCAAACTGAAACGAAAAACGAAGTTAATTTTGGTTTGGATACTATGAACTATCCTAGTAAATCCTATATCTATAAAAACCAAAAACAAAACGAAAACAAAAAATGTTTATCTAAACTCTATAATATAGTTTATAAAATTATAACATTCCTACATGTTGTCGGAGTAAAGGATTGTCAGCAAGGACATTCTACTGCATTGTAGATTCTTATAATGTTTAGTTTAAAAATAATCATGTATTATTAAAAAAATACTATTTATACTGAATTACTCAAATTTTTGTATCTGAAATATCTAAAATTATCAGAATGCTCAGGTATTTTATCTAAAATCTTGAAAATCTGATATTTTATCTGAAAATCCAAATTATTTGCGCTTTAAATCTGAATTAACCGAAAAACACCAAACAAAAACCTAATTAGCCCCAAAATTATTTTGGATATTAGTTAGCTTTCATCTTTATTACCTGAACTAAAAACCGAAATAACCAAACATAAACCAAATCAAGTTTTCTAAATACTCAAACGAATCTTGTATATTTTATTTTCTAGAATTAAAAATATGAAAATCGAAATAAACCGGACTGAGACTTGAAATCCTCAGGCCTAATTCAGAATTACCTCCTTCACTCCGTTTGACTCGTTTCCCCTCTTCTTTTCCAGTATCATGACATATTAATTTGGTAAATACTATACACTAACTTACTTTATAGGCCTTTACGAATTATTTCTTTCTGAATATATGCTAAAAAAATTTTATCTAACAAATCATATATATCAACCATTTACGAGTATAAAACGCTACATATTTATGTTAAAGCATTTTTTTTCTTCGTTCCAGTTTTGATCTCTCTCAAAATACACTGATGATATCTTAGTAAAGCCTTCTTATAGGTAACTAGGGTCGGACCCGCCCTAAGGGCGGGTAAGTAAATATGTAAAATAATAAAAATAAAGTTAAAAAGTTATTTTCAAAGATATTAATGTTTACTACTATTTTTTCCTAATTTTTTATTATTTTCATCAATTATATAACGTTTAACTATTAAAATGCATTACTTTTTTCAATATTTGTTCTACTTTGAATTAGATGGTAAAATAATAATTTTTTTTTAAATGTAGTTAATTCTATGCAACAGGGAAAAAATCATTTTCTCTTATATATATATATATATATATATATATATATATATAATTCAGTAGCTTTTTAAATTAATAATTTGAATGATGTGAAATAAATTGTTTATTCACTATAACAAAAAAAATTGAAATTATTTAGGAATCATAAAACCCCAATACTAAATGGATTTTTTTTAAAAAAAATTATACTTGGTCTAATTCGCGCCAAAATTTGTTTTCGTTATGTTTTTCCGTTTTAACACTTGTTATTTAAAATTTATATATTATATTAAGTTAGGTAGAATAAATTTTATTATATATTTGCTGAGATAAATTGAATAGGGCAATATTCTGATTTTATTTTGGCAATATTGATCATTTAACATGTTCATTTATTTTTCTCCTTTTTTTTTTATCAAATTTATTTTTCTCCTTTTATATATTGTATTTTGTTCGGATGGTGCGAGCATATATATACTTATTATTTATCAGTACGCAATTTATGGTTGAGTTTGTTTTTTTTTTAATTCACTATGTCAACGTTTTATATTGAAAGGGTCCAAAAGCACGTCATTACAAACAATTCAACCCATCATGTACAATA